TAACATTGTTGTAGGCTTATTGTTATTGTTTTTGTGATAAAAACATAACTTATAATGACATATGGCTTTGGCCCTCGGAACTTACTGGAGTAATCAGTATGGCCCTAAGGCTGGAAAGTTTGGAGACCCCTGCCTTAGACACTCACATTGCCAAAGGGCTCGCAAGTGCGTTGTCAGCCTTTCAAGAATTGGTACACTCTTTCCTTGAAGTTTCTAGTTTTAGACACCAATTTAAGAATTTCGACTCGACGCACCTCACTATTTATATAATTGTATCCTATTTCTTCAATGAACAAAAAACTATACATAATGTGTGTTATATAATGTAAGGTGCAAATTTAAAAACAAACTCGACTTTTTCGGTCATTCCATTGTTAACACTTTGAACTTTCGAATAAATTGTAACGGTACTAGTAGTATTTTGTTGGATAATATAACCCGTTCGGTTAGTTAATGATTAGTTTCGTTCAAGCATAGTGTTTGAAACGGATTGTATTAAAAATTGTTATAAAACCTTCGTTGTATTAAATGGGAGGTTTTGTATGGTATGTTTATAGAAAGATTTTTGCGCATATTAATTAATATTATATTTAACTAGCTGACCCGGTAAACGTTGTTTTGCCATGTAAATTATTTCTAGGAAACATTTTTTTAGTTCAATAAAAATAACTATCTAATAAAAATAGGAGTTGATCGTAGAGGGGTGAAAATTAAGGGTTGTATGTATTTTTGTATGCTGTATCATAAAAAAATTAAACAAATTTTTTTCGAAAAATTATAAAAAATGGTGCGTGCACTTATGTACGCGCCTAAGAAGTTATACTTCTTTGGCTTTCTTTATTTTTTTAAAATATTAAATAATTAATAATAAATATTTAGCGTTAATAATTTAACAATATTTAGTATATTATTCAATTATTGATTAATATTATTATATGATTAATTCAATTTAATAACTAGGTATGTTTCATAACCTTTTTACTAAGAAACAATAGGTCTTTGTGAAAAAGCATTGCTAAATTTCTTTGAAACAATAATTAAAACTCCTTTATTTGTTTAAAAGGTACTACAAATGTCATTATGGTCATTCAAATTCTTGGCATAGCTGCTAACGTCACGCATATTCTATTTCTTTTTACTTGTAGATTGTCTTATTCCCTACTCGCTCGCGAACGCTTGGCGCCCATACTGATATTTTGTGTCACGGTGCGCGCGCATCGTAAAATTTCACTCTCATAAAATTTTCATAACGCGCCTAAAGAAGTATAATTTCAAAAAATTTAGGGGTATGAAAAATTGTTGTTGTGCGATTCGCAGACCTAACCGATACACACACAACATTTTGGAGGAGTTTAGTTACAAACACCGTGACACGAGAATTTTATATATTAGAATAATCCACTAATATCGTTTCGTTAGACGTATCATATATATGAGTTACTAGCGCACATATATCACACTGGAAGAACAGCCCTGCGATTCTGTAACTCACTTTTCGAACTCACACAGCGGTTTTCGCATCGGCGGTCGCTCTGAAATCAGTCGAGAAGCAGTCATTTTATGGTTTGGCATTCTGATAAACAATAAACTACAAGCTCCCACCTTTTCGGGCGAATTCCAATTTCTTGCCCCGGGACTAACGTTATATTAAACAAGCTACGCCCCGATATATAACGTAACATATGTTTATTCAACTGGAAATAGTTAACCAAACAAATAAACACGTCAGTTTCGTAATATTAGGTATTATCGAATTAATTTACTATTAAATTTTGTTTACAATAACTATATTTTGACAAGTGTGATTGACAAAGGGGCGCGAAGGTCACGCTAATTTGTCTATTGTAAGGTTATTTGGGATACATGTCTACATTCAATTACAACCATTCATGAACTTCGGCGTGTCAAGGATTTTTATTGTATAGTGAATACCACATAGATTGAATTACCCTTTGTACATTGGTTTATATGTAGTTTGATATCAGATTTATTCGGATTGGTTAGAGTTTAATGTATAGTGGTTATTGTTATATGAGCAGTGTTGGCCTAGTGGCTTCAGCGTGCAACTCTCATACCTGAGGCCGTAGGTTCGATCCCCAGCTGTGCACCAATGGAATTTCTTTCTATGTGCGCATTTAACATTTGCTCGAACGGCGAAGGAAAACTTCGTGAGGAAATCGACATGTCTTAGACCTCAAAAGTCGACGGCGTGTGTCAGGCACTGGAGGCTGATCACCTACTTGCCTATTAGATTTAAAAAAAAATGATCATGAAACAGATTCAAAAATCTGAGGCCAAGACCTAAAGAGGTTGTAGCGCCACTGATTTTTTTATTGTTATATATCGTTACATACCGCTGATGCAAGCTGACTATTGGTAGAGCGATTCCAATTTCAATATGGAGTTTGAATACCATGTAATTGAACATATTCGAACTTCTTCGTGGTCTTCATTACTGAAGGTTGTGACTGTTTTGAAAAGCCCTAACCGATACGTAGACTTGCCGCCTCAACACCAGTATATTTTCAGCTTGTCTCAGTGCATTAGAAATTGAGACCCATAATTGCCTTAATTTGGTCAAACCAACGGGTAGGTGACCGACTTCGCCTGTAATCACCATTAAGATATTTGATAAGCGTGTATTAAAATACCTATTAGTATATACCGAAGTCCCTCAACAAAGTTATATAATAGTATTAGAATTTTTCAAATGATTTTTGTTCACTTATAAATCAAGATCCCTCACACTATATGTACAAGCCAAGGGTGTACATTTTGCTCAATCAGGCTTTCTTAGTTTATACGAGAAAACGTGGCGATTTTCTAAATCGACAGAGTTACACCCTGAGAGTATAGCCAGACGTAGGCACTGTCTTCAATGGTTACATTGCCTTAATTCGGTACATAGCAATTATCATTTCATTATTTCGCTTATATGCCATTGCTGTACGCGAGTGATTAATATAGAGTAAAATTAAAATCCTCTATTATTTAGAGCACCCAGGACCGTACACTATACATCTCAATTAGCATTGTATGTGCTTATATATTTGTTATTAAATGTAATACTCGTATATTGAAATATGAAAATGAAACGTGACAAACATTCATCTACTAATATTTGTTGTATGCGAGTTCTATACTCAAATAAAACATCTTTGATAAACGGGACTTTCACTAGTTGAGACACAATTATTTTGGGAGCTGCTAATATGTTTGTATAAGAAATAGTCTGTCTTAATGTAACGGGTGTGTTAAGGTCAAAGATACTTGAAATATGAAGAAGGCTTCATGTACCATTGTTTAAACTTTTCCTCACCGAAACAAGCGAAGGCTGTGTTTATTGTTAGTATTCTGTGCGTTCACGGGTCAAATAGTTGGCGATGGCCATTGAAATGTGTGCCAGGTAGTGAAATTGAATGTTTGCTCTAGGTTTATTGTGCCTTTAGGGAATGTAAATATTAAGAGATGCTATTGAGATTTTGAATATAAGTATAGCTAGATTTGGGGAATGTTTTAAATACTGTTAATTGTACTGACATTATTAATATTTTACCGAAATACACATTTTTTTAATATTATTTTACTACTCTCTTATCATTTATCATATAAATACCAAATTAGATGGAATTAACAACACGATGTATGATTTCTCTAACACTTGTATTGAATTAGATACTTTTAGAATGTCCATGAAACTATTATTTTATGATGTTTATCTAATCGTTCCGCATCTACCAACAATAATACTTATAGTGGAGAAAATCGGAAATCTAAAACCATATTCAAATTTTATGATTGATTTAAATTGATAACTATCAACGCTTACACAATATAGAAATCATATTTGCATAAAAATGGCAAATATTTTAGGCATTAAAAGCTTAGCGAATCGTAAAGCAAATTGCGTGTCTAATAAAAATAGCGATTATAATTTGCATATTCGCCAAAACTTGTTACTGTTTTATTTATTACCTTTGATCGGTATTAGGAAATCTAGTTTAACCTAGATTTAATTATAATTTGAATTGCATTTAAATTAATTTGTGCTATTGAAAGGTTATTGTGTAATTTATTGTATTCAAGTGTTGAACTGGCTTAATCTTTACTCATAATAAAGATATTAGCTAGCGTTTTTTCGTTGAATACTCCATTTATCGGGGAAGGCAAGTCAATATTATGCTACATTTAATGAACAATTCTGCTAAAATGTAGAAACTATACCTTTTAAGCTACCGTTGCGTGTGCTACCCAAACGGCAAGTTACGGAAAAATTATGTAATTTTCTAAAAAAAACTAGCTGACCCGGCAAATGTTTTGCCATTTATTATTTCTAGGAAACATTTTTTTTAGTTCAATAAAAATAAATATATACAATAATAAAACAATTTTTTTTTGTTTTGATGATGAACGAAAATTTTGTTTTGAACCCGTTTGATGATGATGGGTTGATCGTAGAGGGGTGAAAATTAGGGATTGTATGTATATTTGTATGCTGTATCATAAAAAATAAAAACAAAAAAAAATAGGTGTGTATCGCCCTTATCACTAAGGGGTTTGAAAGATTGATAGTAGCCAATTCTCAGACTTACTGAATATGCATAAAAAAAAATTATAAGAATCGGTCGAGCCATTTCGGAAGAGTATAGGAACGAACATTGTGACACGAGAATTTTATATATTAGATATTCTTGTATGTAATTCATTAAATATTTTCGTACCCTGTTGAACCTACAATCAAAAAATTCTTACTACTAAATAAGGCAAATTTGTGTACTTTGTTACTCGCACACCAATACCCCGTAGTTATTTGTAACAATACCTTTCATCTTGGTTCAATTAACTCGATGATCGGGGTCATCGTCTCATTATGTAAGTGTCAGATCCGGCTTCTTTGTCTATACTTTTACTGATTACGCGTACGTGACTTGGCGTGATGGATTATGTTGGACATCTAATAGTATTATATCATTTGGACTTCTCTTCGGACATGCCTTTGATTATTTATAAGACAGGTTGTATTTCCATAAGGTGTTGCCACCCATTTTAACGGCTTTGATAAAGGATCCTAATTGTCTATGGATCTCTTCAGGCGCCTCATTGTTGGTGTTGTTATAATAATAAAAGCCATTGCTCACTAACCAATTTTTTTTATTAATCATAGCACTATCATCCAGTTGGTCACGTCGTCTTCCAACATAGGCCTCTCCTGTTGTTGCCACTTGTCTCATCGTTTAACGATCTTCTCCATCCGGTATATCGTCTTCTCATGTCTTTATTTGAGGGCCTGTTTTCCTTCTCCCATCCTCTTGGATATCATTACGATGGTGGCGTTATAGTTATCCTCAAAAAATGTTTGGTTGTGGAAGGGAAGTCAGCGAGATTTGTATTATATGTAATATGTATGCTTTCAGTGTTCTTTTTAAGATCGTTTTATATTTGACTGAATTCATTTTCCAACATTTGGGTAACGTTAGATTTTACAGTTTATGTCGAGCATTATTTGGATTGGAAATCGTAAATACAGAGTATAACAGCAAACAGTATTGATATAATATAAAGTATTGGTGCTTTAATTAATGTAAATAATATTATTGAAATGATATCGGATGTTCAAAGCGGGATAATTCCAGCTTTTTATTAGTATTCATTTCACCGAAAGCATTTTCCTCTATGAACGAGACGGGTACATAAATCGTTACATGTAGAACTACCAAGTCCGTGTTTGTACATGAATAATGTATTACCAATCCTGCGCAGCCAATTTATCGTTTGCCTCAAACCTACCGGATTCTTGTAGTTTTTCTTTTGCGCTAGATTTTCTCTGAAAACTAGGTTTGATGTATCGTACCTGGTTATCTACTTTATTAGTTTAGTTAAACAATAATTGCCTCTCAGAGAAAGCTAATATGCCTTGAAGGTTTTGTTGTATGCATCGTTAGTAATTTATAAGATTTATTATTACTTCGATCAAAAAAATAAATCGTAAATAAATTTTATCCAGATTGGAAACATGTATCACGGCAGTTTGTGTTACGATTTTAATTGATTGATATTTTTAAATAAAGTTTATTCTGTAAGGGATTACGGTTTTAACTTAAATAGTCCCAAAATACCTATACATAACATGTTTTTCTTTAGTTAAAATCTTTTAAATGCCAATATTAACTTTAATGAATTATCTTTGTGAGTTTTAAAAGGAAGCAACGATTAGTTTTTTTTTATTTCTACAACGATATTGAATACATCTGAGTCCAGGTCATCATTATAAGCCTTTCAAACTGGGAATGTTCGCACAGCACAACTTGCCATGAAACGTAATCAGTAAATCTTACTACTATTATATCTACCCTTTACCAAATTTGGGAGTAGGTAAACGTTGTCGGTTCTTGAATAACTCAAATTCAATTTGTGCGCATAAGCAAAGGAATGTTTGACGTGTTTGGTAATAACGCTTATATAATATAGAAAATTACTGTTAAAGTATCGAATCACTGACCTGTCACTGTTGCTGATAAATTACATTTGGCAGATAATCACGTTTTGAATGACGATGTCAAAGATGTCAAGGAGGCAATCACTGAAGTGTAATTAAATTTTACTTCAATTATGGCTTACATAGTTTGCATTATACGCGGTTTAAATGGTTTATTTATGTTATTTAATGTGAGATACGTTATTTAAAGTTCAAATATTAGTTTGTATTATGTTGCCTAAAGCTTTTCTTTATTTACGTTTGGACAGAAAGCTTCATGAAAGTTTTAAAAACTGTTTAATGATGACATCAGAACGATAACATTGTTACCCTAAGGAACGCATACATACAAACATTTACTTTACCAGGAAGCTTTATTTTATAAAGCTTACTTTATTTAGAAAGATATAAAATGTAGAAATTAGGTTCGAATAGACCACCCTGTGGAAAGCCTTTTATTAATATCTATACATTCCAAAAGCTATCTGTATAGTCACGGTCGTTCACTTTCACTGCACCTCATGGCTATACGTGATGGCCATGGCAATCGCAACCTCATGACATACTATAACATACGTTCGAAAGTTAGTGTTCCGTGATTAAGCATTATTAAAACTTCCGTTCTTGAAAAAGTTACGGTTCCGTATGAAACCTTCGACACGGTAACTCAAGGTGTGAAAAGCATACCAGTGAAATCTATACGCTGCGGAAACTATTGACATTAGAGCAAAATTATGTACTACAGTTTTATAGATGACATCAATATCTATAAAAACGTCAGCGATGTCATATGTCTATTACATATTTCATTAAATAAAATCAAGCCGTGCCTTTATAGTATATAAATAAATTGCTGTCCATTTGCCTTGCTAAAACTCGAGAATGGCTTGGCCGATTTGGCGAAATATTTGTGGAAGTCCAGGGAAGGTTTATACATTGAGAAACATGTAGAAAATATAACAAAAAATAACCTTAAGTTAAATAATTTAATAAATAAATTATCCAATATAATTCGTTACAACATCAAAACATTCAATGTCTTCTATTTATAAGAAATGAAAGAATATTCGTGATCAAATATTTTTATCTAGTAAAAAATAAATACAGATTACCGACTACAAATGAATTAACATTAGAGTTATTGGTGACTGTTACAGTAAAATTATGAAGCCATTATTAATTATTATAAAGTAATTATTAATTATTAAATAAATATTTTAGCCGTACAAATTGTATCTCCGGTATTGTATTTTTATAGAACGGGGCAAACAGGTAGGAAGCTTTGTATCTATATATCTCTGGTACTGATTAAAAATCTCACCACTGTACTTATCTTTGCCTTAAAACAATTGCTTTGCCTACCTCTTTGTATTACGCATTACATTTAGTAAATATACTTCATAATAAAAATAGGATAGTATTATTTTTTAATTCATATTAATTTTAATTGCATTATCAAACCTTGTTTCTCTGTTATGTTTGTCTACAAATTTGAAAGTAATTCGTGAATTAACAAACTGAGCTGTGCTAAGAATTTGTACATTGTCATGGTAATGACCTCATGACACAATGCACCTTTTGGTCACGGTCAACGAAAGCCAAAGTACATTGTCCGATATTGTTCTCTATACTTTCGCTGTACAGGAATAAAAGTTTCAACAAAACCTTTACAATATCGAATATTCAGATTCATAGGTTTCAAGTGCTGACCTCAGTGTTAGGGATTTATTTATAAGTCCTACAACATGTATGCTTAAAAGATACAAGATATCAATTATATTATATCATAAAAAATTAAACTAGCAAGGAAAAAATGAAACACAAGAAGTAAAAAACTATAACTAAATAGAAACTTACGCTCATTAAGAGCGTAATAAAATTACGGTTTAGGAAGATTGCCTGAATCTAAATGTAGGAGATGAGAAGTGGTTGCCTGGAAGAGATCCCTTCAAAGCGTTAAGGCCGGCAATTGCTCACTTTTCATTTAATTATGACAATTATACATTTCTGAGTGCAACCAAGTGTTAATAAATAAAATAAGATTGTTGTAATGTATATCAATATTATCATTAATGTAGCGATTGTCTATTGAGAAAAATTCAATCAAAAGTCTATTTTTTTTTGGATTTGATATACGGAAGTCTTAGCAAATGTCCTATCTGAATCTGAGTGTTAGAGGCTTCGATTAAGCTATACGTAATATATGTAAATAGTTATCAATAATTATTATATATCAAAAGAGCTGTGTACGTAATGCGTAATTTAATACCCAACTAATAATGACGTAAGCAAGCACTATAAAATACCTCTTTAAGGTCGCGATTTTAGTCTTATAAATAAATAGTTATCTCATAATTAACCACTCTAAGTACGACTATTGTCATATAATAAAGGTCTTAGGTCGGTTGCCTATTACTTTGGTGTTATTTTAGTTCGATGATTCGTATCTCGCGTTAATCACAACCGAACAATTCAATTATCCAAACACAAAATACGTCTACCCACATTTGAGGTAAACAGGTGGAACTATTTCCTATCGGTTCCGATCTTGCAATAGTTAAATGTCGACTTAAAAGTTCAAGCTAACAATGGCGTTGCTCTTGTGAAATTAGTTGCTGACGTATTACCTTTGGGCGGAATATATGAATTTTGTAATATTAAATTCATTCTGGAGCAGATATATGTATGACGAAAAATATGGTGACACATATCGTAATAGAAATAAATATAGCCTGCTAATTAATGTGTCTGTGTGCTAATAAAATATATACAGTTGAGACTACAAAATAGACTGAAAAAAGTAAAGGAATGTTGCTCAAGACAAAAAGAAATTAAAAGTAATGGAGGAGGCTTTTACCGTAAAAGAGGCTATCCGAATACAAACACTAAAACACCAACAAAACTAACCTATTTTTTTTAAGTTGTACTATCACCACTACTACTTATATTTAGGAAATGTTAACTAAACAATTGTTGTATGAATTAATTAATAAAAGTTTAATAATAATTGCTTCTGGGTTATCGGGTTGCTTTAAATAATAGAGGAGATTTATGTTTATATAAATCACTCGCGTACAGCGGTAGAATATAAGCAAAATAATGAAGTGTCAATTACTATGAAACGAATTAATGCAATCTAACAGTTGCACTCTGCATGCGTCTGCTTATACACTCGGGGCGCAACTCCGCGTTAGGAAATCGCCTCGCTTATAAAACTAAAAGCCTGAGTGAGCAAAATGTGTGGCTCGTACGAAAATAATAATAATTAATGTGTCCAAAAATTGTCTAGTTTTTAACCACAGTTGTCAATTATGGATCTACTAGAGCGCCATCGACAATCGCCGTAGGAGGGATGCGATAACAGCAGAGCCTGCCTGGCGATTCTGTATCTCACACTGGCATTCTCATAAACAATAACCTACAAGCATCCTCCTTATAAGAATGCCAAATCGTAAAATGACTGTTTTATGACTGATTTGAGCGTGACCGCCGCTGTGAAAACCGCTGTGTGAGTTCGAAAAGTGAGTTACAGAATCGCAAGGCTGATCCGCTTCCCGACACGCGATATGACGGTTGCGTCTGTCTAATAGAACTTAAAAACTTGCTTATGTATGCAAGTACCATAGGAAAGCTTTTTTGCTAATTAATGATCAAATCATTCATTTATGATCACAATATTAAAAGACTGAATACTACATAGCATCAATTAATATAGCTTTTTAAATTTTACATTCAAATAAAACATCCAAAAGTTGCGTCACTACAGAAAGTCGATCGAATATACCTGTTTTCGTCGATTATTAGCTAATCATTTCACTTTTAGCACAACGTGACAGGCCACTTACACGTCATTTAAGTTTTTCAACTAAACGGTGTTAAAAAGTTTAGTTTATTTTCATTAAAACGAAAATGTATTTAAATACAATAATAAAAAGTTTTTGATTTAAGAAGTAAAGTATAATTTTGCAGCACATCTTGTTTTATACAATCCTCATTTACGTATATAAATTACTAAATCGATTAAACTAATTATATTTAAGATTAATTTCATTATGTTCATTTGATCATTAAATTATCCAATAACAACATAATGTTTTTACATTATTTAATCATCTCTAAACAAACGAGGCGTTGACGAGTTGGTGACGATGAAGAACTTGATGGTGATAAAAATTGGAAGCTAAATTTAGATCAGGTAATAGGTGTCAAAAGAGGTCGTTAACATGCAAATTGCATTTTGCGTTGGTTATTGAAATTTAACCTTGAGCTTTGTTGCTAGTTGCGTGATGGAACGGTATTTATATTGGATATAGAATAGTAAAGTCAAGTAATATAGTCTCTTTGAATCTTCCTTTTTGGAAGGTTCAGATAATCTACAAAAAAGTCACTTAAGAGGTTTATACACGCCTCACAGGTCCTGGAAAACATCAGATGTAAATAAACAATTCTTGATACACTCTCTTAAACGATTTCTTTCGCCAACAGGGTCTACCATCTTGGTCCCGCGGTCTGGAGGCGGCGGAGGCAGCGCGCGCGCGGCTCGTGCGCTGGGCGTGCGGCGAGCCGGCGCCGGAACCTGACCCGCCGCGGAAGAAGATGCCGCACGCCCTACGACGCAGGTGGCCTATGTGCCCCTGTCTACAGGTTAGTTGTATAAATATTATTTTAAAATAAAAACTGCATTGAAAACAGTGAAACTTTATGTATAAATCTAGAAAGATCTTATCCGACGGACTGCAACCTTCCTTGAAAAATATACACTTAAATAAAGTTCTTTTACGAGTATAAAGACTTTGTGATTATGTTTGAAGTCTCATATTACAGTTTTGATGACTAACAAGTAACAAGTTACAATTCACTTTTCATTGACATTTGACAAAATGCTGACAAAATCTAAATTGTTAACATTATTAGTAACTAAGCGGAAACTATGTCAAAAATGTATGGAATTTTTAAGGAATTTAAGGAATTTTTAACATTTATTCCTGACACATTGTTAGAACGATTTGCTGTATTTATGAAAGAAAATTTGTAGTCACGGAAATACTTACAAGTACATATATAATTTTAATTATTGCCTCATACAAGACTTTTGGAAATAATCTTCATGATAATATAAATATGTTTCCTTTGTTATTTTGTAAATATATAAAAGCTAGGTAAGTTTTAACAGTATGTATAGAAAACAAAAGCAATATATGTACAATAAAATTTAGTTATAACAATGTGTGTGTGTGGTGTCCCAAACTTAGAGGCACATGGCGTCGATTTCTTTGATTAAAAGGCAAGTTTACTTTGCTTTTTTAAACATTATCTCGCCGGGAATCGAACCGTACGTACAATGTTCATGCTTTATCAACTCGGCCACATTAGACTAGGATTCAGACTATAAAATTATCTAGCGGTGCTTGTGTTCATCTAGAAAATAACCATACTTATATTGTTACACCAATTTAAGTCTAATTTGAATACAATATTGCAATGTATTTCGTATTCGCAACTGCAATAATTATTGTTGCATTTGGTCACAAATCTTGTGCGAATTGCGTTATTTCAGTTTCGATAGACACTAATAAATTTGAATAAGTAGCGTACTAGATGGGTTTTTTGTTTATCTTAATATATATAAATTACGTGTCACGTTGTTTGTCCGCTATGGACTCCTAAACTACCAAACCGATATTAATCAAATTTGCACACCGTGTGCAGTTTGATCTAACTTAAAAGATAGGATAGCTTACATCTCAAATTAAACCCGCAATATTATTTTATTGCAAAATATTTGTTTATTATTTGATAGTCACAATTCTAACAGATGGCGCTGTGTTGAAAGTACCAACGTTTCACATAAGCTACAATTTAATGGCATAACCACCAAAAAAGCATGGTGGATTGGTGTTCTCCTGCCGTTTCTCTTGAATAGTTTACTACTATGTAATATAACAAAAATCTTAGCCACAGCAAGGCTTGGCCGAGTCTACTAGTCTAATATATAAAATTCTAAAATAATAAATAAATGCAGTTGCAGTTGTCCGGAACGTGTCGTATGTCTCGATGGTCACGTTCGACCGAGGCCGGATATCGTGTGTCGTAGGTTCGATTCGCGTGACACTTTCACATGACATTAACTGTAGATTCTGTACCAATGAGTTATCGATATTTAGATTATGTATGGGTCAGACTTAAAACTAACTAAACATCGGAAAAATCGTCCAATTCTATTTTAAGTAGTCTAGTAAGATGTGAGAAATATTTATCTTCATTATGCAGTCAATAAGATTTTAATTAAAATAGTAGGAAATCAAACCCAAACTCGAAATATCTTTATTTATATAGGTTAACAAGTACACTTATGAACGTCAAGAAGAAGTTATAGTTGTAATCAAAGACAATTTTTTACAAATTTGGCGATTTCAAAGAGTGACGGACAGTATATTGCCAGCTTTTCTCATCCGTTCTACGCTCTCGAGAACTTTAGAAGCATATTTTTTTACTGACATTCGTAAGTATTTATATAGTATCTTACTTGGCTGTTCTTGGCTTTATTTTACATTTAGATAAGGCATTTGCATATACAAATATCATTATATTACCTATATGAATAAATATTTTTTTTTACTTTATAATTGATTTTTACCGTGTTTGTTACCATGGTAACCATTATAAATACATAAAACATCAATAAAACTTCATTTGATTGTCTCTTTTAACAAGTTTTTTTAGATTTAAAATAGTGTTTTGATACGGCGAAGTGTTAACATGAAAACACTCATGCACAGACGACGGAGCTGACAATTTTTCAGTATAATTAGGAGGGGATTTGAAACTGGGGTTCGTGAAAATGAAAGGTTGCAATTAGAAGCAGACTAACATTTAAAGTGCACTCAAAGAGCGTTGTAGTGAACCCATCAGGCATATCCGTTTGTAATGAAAAACAAATGAAGGACGTTCAAGCATAGCTCCTGTCTGTGGACCAATGTCGATGATCGAGGCGTCAAATGATTGGGATTTTATATTTATATTCCATAGGAATTTTTTGATGTGAAACATCTATAGCCGCACGTAAAACCGATTTCTGGCGTGGCGACGCATGCCGTGGCAACGCGTCGCCACGCTATATCATGGTATATATATACAGTCTATATGCAGTAGTGTGTACGGTGTGTATATCGAAGTCACTGATTAAACGAATTAAGTAGTCACGATTTGAAATAAATTCGTAAATTTTTGTGTTTAATGAAAATAAATGTTTATTCAATAAATAGTCATCGTTATCTGGGAAAAAAATAGTAATATTTTATTTTATCATTATGACATAGTTAGTTCCTATCACAATCTGTTCTTTTCTGCATATTACTTTTACGAAATAATGTCGATGTTTCACATCTGCCAGGCGTCCCGTGACGGCTCACATTTTTTAAATTAATGATATAGCGAAAACTGACTACAACATATACAATATACCTACATATAAATATTATGTTCCAACAAAGATGGTGCAACACGTGGCCCAGGTACGTCAACTTTCCGTTGATTACTTTAATGGATAGGATATCGATATTCGAAGTGATTATTATAATAATAAAATCGCGTGCATCGTTTGCGGTGTTTTTTATAGTTCATTGGTCTGATGCGTCTGTAATGTTTCTTTGGCGTGACGTCTTTGAGATCTTTAAAAGTTTTATAGGTTTTTTAAAAAATCTGTAAGGATTTAAGAGAAGACACACATGCACTGCTTCTACTACACTTGTTAATTTATTTAAAAAAAAAAGTTTGACTTGAAAAATACTCGTATTTCATTAATATCTTACATTTTGACAATAATAAAAACTAATTGCAATTTCTTTTAACTTTAAACACGGAATTCTTTGTACTATCAATAACAAAATACTTAACTAAAAATGTCTGAATATAGCATTTATTAGATACAATGATACTCAAGTGCACAGACTATTATCAATGTAAAGACTGACACAAACTTCTACCATAGATAAATAACACTAAAGAACAATGTTTATTTTTAGTCGGCGGAATCTTCTTGGCTATATTGTCTCCAGGCTTGCGTTGCTTGCATTATCGTTGTATAGAAGTAAAGGAAGGGAAATTAAGAAATCTATCAATCTTTGATGTCGTTAAGAAAACGTAATACTTTTAAGTAATGGGAAAGTCGGTCAAGTGGTTCGGTGTGAAATATCGATGGCTCATGACACCTGCGCACGCACATACAAATTATAATAATAATAATTATTAATTTTGATCATTGACTCAATTATAATTTTTTGACTCTTATCTTTGTTTTACGCGGGTCCTACAGGTTTAAATATTCTCACTATTACGACTACCATTTCTAAAAAGCACGCGAAATATGTAATAACTTCTCTTTAATTAATAATAATAATAAAATAATAATAATAAACGAATGTCCTTAATAAACTAGCTTATGAAACTTCACAACTTTCCTATTCTATGCCACCTCCCGCCGATGGCTGGCTTTTAGCGGCAGCAGGTCTTTCAAAAACATATTCTACAAAATCGATGTGTAATTTAACGAAGAGCGGTTCGAATCGTCGACGACCAATCCCTCTCCGAGCGCCTTGTTCCTTTGGCGTTGCGTAGAGATGTTGGGCCACTCTGCATCTTCTACCGCATTTACCATGGAGAGTGTTCAGAGGAGTTGTTCGGATTAATACATGCAGCTGAGTTTCATCATCGGACGTCGAGGCAGAATACGAAATTACACCTGTATCACCTCGACGTCCGCCGTTCCACAACTGAGCGTTTTTTTAAGGCAGTTTTTGCTGAAGTATTTCCGAATCAATTCGACTTAGAGTCCTTCAAGAAAAGAGCGTACCAATTCTTAAATGGCCGGCAACGCACTCGCGGGCCCTCTGGCATTGAGAGTGTCCATCGGCGGGCATTGCCTCCTGTTCTATATAAAAAAATAGCTTTATATGGTTTTCATACCATGTTAAACTTTTGAGTACGTTTTGGAGTATGTGCTATTTTTTTAATATAAGAGTTCATTATGTTAAATTGTTTACGCACATTAGTGGCCATTGATTTATGCGTTATCAAGATCGAATATCATTGGCAAACTAAGGTCAACGTGTAATGTGAGATAAGTCAGCGTGGGTGGTCGGTATTGAGAAAATGGATTCAATTGAAATCAAATGTTGTATACCATTTAATTTATTGCTTTAATTAACAGATTAAATAATTTAAAAGCGAGTTGTAAATATACAAAAATTAATTAGATAAACAAAATTACATAATAAAAATAACACAAAAAATTAACTAACTTTTGTTAGTTCAGTCAACGGACAATAAACAGGTCCGTTAACCTATGTGATTCGTTAACTAAAGTAATACAATGATATACGTGGCCTCAGAAGATGTTTCCTAGCTGTGGGGACATGAAGTACCTAACGGCGGACGGTGTGAGCGCCGCTGGGTATAGAGGCGGTCTATGACGCCGACCATTCCCAAACAATTTTTAACATGCCTACTTGGGGCACCATATGTGTCTCTCGTATTTCACAAAAAGAGTTTTGTCGAGCTAATGCGTACCATCTTTTGATTATTAATAACCCCCCGCGCAGCCCCCCCCCGCCCCCCCCGCGGGGGGCCACCGCGCCGCAGGTGAC